TGTTTAAACTGGTTTCTGCAATAATAAAGCTTCCTATTCTCAACATGTAAGAAGGACTGGTGAGATTAAATGTTTTACTTGTCATTACCACATTTGTTGTTGAAATCTTTCAACGTGTAGTTGGGGGCCCACTCATGGTATTGACCATCTGGTTATTATCTGTGAAAAAGTTAAACCATATTGTTGGCGTAAATAGAGAGTTAATAGGTAAATATACTGGAACCAGCAGGCATTACTTGGTAGAACAGTTTGCAAAATTCAAACCCATGGCAAACAGTTTGAGGTCTGTTTATGAAACTTTATATCTGGAAATATAATCTAGAACCAACATAGCAGATGTGTTTTAAACTGGGAACATATTTATGTCTGCTTTAGTTGATTGTTTATAAATTGACCTTATTGCCAAAGCAGATTCTCTTCAGTTGCCCCCCTTTAGCATGCTTTTGGTACCTATAAATTTAAACAAAAAATAATATTTCATCCATACATTTATTCTTTATTAATTTTAGTATTCTTGGGGAAATTTTGTAAATGAAAAAAAAATAATAATAACATTGCAGAGCTCTGAAAGTTTCTCTTAGTCACTTCACTACTATTCTATTTTTTTTTTGTTAGGGGACCAAACATACATCTCCAGTGTGGTATCCATTCATAATGAATTGCCTTTATTGCGTTGCCATAATTAAAGGCCTGTATGTACTCTCATAGGAGCTGGAAACATTTCTGTATTTGAGTGAAAGTTAAACTAAATTCAGACGTTCTGTAAGGGCCTCTGGGATTTGTGATAGAGCATCAGTCTACAAAGAGCATGGTGGAGACCAATAAAAACATCAGATAGGTCAGTAAGACTTTTGAGAACTTTAAGTCAGGGTTAGGTTATGGAGCAATATATCTTTAGCTTTTAACGTCCCGCACAGCACTGACCTACTGGCGATACAAAACTAAACCTACCAAGACGTGGATAGCAAAACCAAATGACCTGGCTGTAATGACTCAGAACAGATGGCCCCAGTATTCAAGCAAATGGTTTGCGGATCTGCAGCAGCAGAGGCCAGGGCGCTCGAGGCAGGTAACTCTGGCTAGAGTTCAGACCGTGCCCAGAGACCGAGGTTGACACCAGCCAGTCAGTTGACAAGATGCAGAGAGAGTTCCAGACACCGAAGCCTTGAAGGACACAGAACTGACCGAAGATCAGAGCAGATGACAGACGAAAACAGGATAATCCAGAGAACGAAGTCAAGAGCCAGATCCAGGTTCAGTCCAGCGTAGAATCCTAACAGAATCCGAAGACAGGTCAGCCAAACAGATCAGAACAGGGGCAGGCAGGCTTAAAGGTCTGAAGACAGGGTCAGGATTAGGTAATCAGAACCATATTAGCAATGCTAGTAAAAGCTTAAGAATAATCTGGCACTGATGGCTAGGAGCGAGCAGTTTAAACAGAGGCAAAAGCAGGTGGATCAGATGAGCTGTTATGAGAAACATGACAGAGTTAGACAGGAGACTGAAATGAGCAATTTAGCCAGCCATCAGCCAAGATCATGACACAGGTAGGGGCAAAAATAAAAACATAAGCAGCGATCTATGTAGAAAAAAAGTTTGAAGCTGCAAATGACTCAATGATTGATAAGGTATTTATCTTCCGCCAGTAAGAAACAATCCTAAATGAAGTATTTAAAACCTGTGTTACGATGGCCCAGACAAAGATTAGTAACTGTTTAAATTGAGAATCTGAGGTCCTATATATTCAAAGATGTTCTCCATCCAATCTGACTGAATTTGAGCCATTGTGCAAAGATGAGAGGGGCCGTAATTTTAAGAGTGCAACAAGGGAGATATATTGAGTCTTTCCTCCTTCATCTGCTTTTTTTTTGTATAAGAACAAGCAGAATGACCTGATAAACCTACTGTCTGTTGGTAAAGTGACACCGGTGTCCTGGATGTCCAGGAACTTATTTTAGTGGGTTCAAAAAGGGTCTTTATTGTGTTATTGTGTTCCTACAGCTGTAATGTTGCAAGCTTTAAGTGTCTCCATCTCTCTTCCTCTTAAGACTGTTTTTAAGAAGCTGGTCAGTTTTTACCTCTGCAGACTTGATGTTTTTTTTTTTTTGTCTGTGCACTACACAGCGGTGTGAAGTGAAACCACAAAGTTCAAACCTGAGTAAAGCCAGAACTGACTTTCAGTCTTGGATCATGATCTGTCCTGAAGGCCAACAGTTTGCTGCTGCACGGAACATAGAGGAGGCTGTTTCTGCTCAACTCTGTATGCATGCACATATGCATGCACCAAACTGCACACACAAACACTAGTCAGCTTTTTCAAATAGACGTCTCTGGAATTATTTGTGTGTTTGAACAAAATCCCTCTGGGGTGTTAATCAAAGAGTTGTGGCATAAATGGAATAAGTGTGCACTTTCATTTTTCTTGTTTTTATATACAGACATTCTGCTTGGTCATGTCTGGGATGAACACTAAACCTTCATGTTATTCGCCCCTCTCTTTATAATAATGCAACAATTTCCATCCTGTGTAATAATCTTTGATTTTCCATCCTGTCTAAGACCTTCAGAACAGGAAACGGGATTGTATAGCTGTAAACTATGCAAACAACACTGTTGAGGAAAGGCTTTATCTTTGCTCCACCTGTCATTGAAAAATTCTGTCACGTGCAAAGCAGTTAATGAGGATTGAAGTTAGCAAGAGATCAAGATAAAGTTTAAGCTTAATCATTTTCACGGTCGTGCCTTTGATATAGGAATAGAAATGATCCAAGCAATTTTAAACAAAAATATCCCACACTGACCAGGTAAAAAATGTTTAATAAATCTGCTCAGTGCAGCATTACATTTGAATGCGATTTTGAACATGCAAAGTAAAGTGTTAATCTGGAAGAAGAGGATCTGGGCTGCAGGCAAAAGGATTCGACGATGGCTTATTTCCTGTCATTGACTGTTGGTCACATGTTGCGTGGGCGTAAGATAGCGTAATGGGTTAAAGGGGTGAGGTTTATGCAAAAAAAAACACTAAAGGACAACTCTGCGCACCCACTGTTCTGATTGACTGCTGCAGGGGAATAGTGAGAAGTTTTTTTCTGCTAGGATTGACCTGAAGAATTCTTCTTTAATGGAAAAAAAAAGTTGACACACAGGCAACAAAATGTCAGGTCTTGGGTGATAAAAGGGTTCAACAGTGCAGCAGTAAAACAAAAAAAAAAACAAACAACTAACTGTTGCTCACATGAGGTGTAAGGGAAAACGTGCCTGCTCACACCCACGCCGTCTAACGCTCCATTTTTCCCACTCACATAAATCTGAATGAAGGAGACTTTTTCATCCAATCAGATCTCTTTCAGGCTATGTAGACATTCCCTCCCCCTTTTTTTACCCTTGAATAACTCCACTTGACCCCACCGTCGATGTTGTTACTGACAATCAACAAAATAAGAAAATATCCATTATTGGGCATTATATACAGCACCAGGAAAACATATTCATTCACTAAAGATGCCTTCACATTTTGTTACGTTACAGCCATGAACTCCACTGGAACATGTTGGGATTTGTGATGGAAAAGCTCGAAGTAATGCAGCATTTTTGGAAGCAAATAATTTCTTGCCAAGCGGAAATCTGTAAAATTGTGGCCTACCTGTATAGTCAGCCTATCTGAATCAATACTCTTTAAAAACACATTTTGCCGCCATCGCAGCCACAGGTTTTTGAGGTATACCTGTATCTATAATTTTGATGATTCTAGTTTGAAAAAAAAATCAACAAAATAAACCAGTATTTTTAACTAGATATAGAATAATATCCCCTTGACGGGCATTAGTCCGCAAATTTTGCAAGTTTCTGTTTTAACTCAGCTGGTAACTAACACTATTCAGGTGTGCTGGATAATTGGTAGGCTGGATGGACCCAGAGGACCAGAGTCCAATCTATGTCTTCTAGCTCTGGGAAGTGGTGGCCTAGTGGCATTGCACTTGGATCCCACAGGCTCTGAGTTTAAGCCCCACTCCCACAGACTGCCATTCTGGGTCCTTGAGCAAGACCCTTAACCCCCACACTGCTCCCCAGGCTCCGCACAGTGGCAGCCCACTGCTCCCCAAGCGATTGGTTAAATGCAGAGGGTGAATTTCATTGCTTTGTACTTGTGACAATGTGATGACAATAAAGTTGCATTCTTTTCTCTGGCTGCTGTGGACCTCCTTTAAAGCAAATTTCCTTCCATTTTAAAGTAATTTGCAGCCTTATAATTTTTTAGCTCCAACCTCCAACGGACTAGTTCCCCAGTCCCTGCAGAAAAGAAAGCGTTCCCACAGCATGATACTACTGCCACCTTTCAATGTGGGAATGCTGTTTTTCAGGTGCAGAGTTATCTCTCTGCCATAGCGTTCTTCCAGGTTGGCTCAAATCATTTGATTAGTGCCTTTTTAAACATGGTTGTGGGATTTTTCTTGCCTCTTTGATAACAGCTGGATGGGTGAAATGCTTCACTAATTGCGGATTATTTTGTTCTTATCAAAATAAAAAATTTGACTTATAGTTTCTTCTTCAGCACTGCGGATCTCTGAAGCTCCTCCAGCCAACTTTTCTCTCCAATGCAATCCAAAATTAGCCTTAAAGTTGTTACATGAACTTTTCCTAAATGATCGAAAAATCTGAATCCTTTGGCAAGGCAGTCAGAGGGAAAAAAAAAAATTGTATGTATGTACAACACTTCCTCATCCTTTCTGATGAAACTGCCGGGGCCTCATGCATTTCAACACAGCTACATTTACAATTTTTACTGAAAAGAGAAAATAATACATATAAGAAGCTGCAGAGACACCCCATATGGCCCCACTGTAACGACTGCTCCAGACACCAAACACACACATACACATACAATACAGGCGCTCATATGCCAATAGCATGGCCTTGATGTGGGCTGGTGTGCTGTCTGCACTGAGCGTCAGCAGCTGGGGGCCAAGGTTTCTAAGAGAGAGGAGAAATGAAAGAGAAGGCAAAGAAGGAGGAAGCTGACAGAAATGTTAAGGTTATGAAGGGAGGCGAACAGATGTGAGGTTTTGAAAGCAGAGCAAAGGAGTAATGAGGCACCATAAATGAAGAGGAGTAGCAGTTCATCAGGAGGAAAGAGGAGAGCTGTCCAAAGGAGGTTAGATCTGGGAATACATATCTGACACAACAGCTGATGGGATAAAACTAAAAGTTACATGATTTATCACCAAGAATACTTTAAATGTTACTAACTTTAGTTAGGATGATTTTTATTTTTGCCCAGGATGATTTTACACTAATGTATATGAATCAAACTTGATCTTGAACTTGATCTCACTTGATCTTTCACACAACAGGGAATCTACAGGGGCTCATTCTTCAAAAGTTGTAGGAATAAAGAATGTATGCAGCTCTAATGTCAGTGGTTGGTCTGTTAAAAGAACAACAAAAAAACCCTAAAGATTCAACAAGCCTGTCTTGACAAAGGCTTGGAATTAAAGTGAAAAACATCCTGATGAGTTATTAGGTAAGCTTTCTATGTGTTTCTCAATATCCCCTCATTTTATGCTGAAATAGTCAGTGTTTACAAAGAAGAATGATCAACTGGAATGCATTTTATTTACCAAGTGGCAAAGGAAGAAAATAAAACTGCTTTAAAGAAAACAAACAGTTTCAGACTAAATTCTTAAAGTATTTCTTATTCCCTATAATTTTTTTTCTTGGACATATTTAAGGTAATTGTGACTTTCGAGCCTTAGAACTAGCAAAAAAAAGTGGGAACTGGTGAGCGCTGGTGACCAATTTTCCAAAATACCTTCAACTTTTATTACCTGACATTTATCTGGGATTAAAGTGTCTTTTTAGCTGTTTGCTAATAGCTTTAATATTATAGTTTTTTCCAACCTGATTCAAAAACTTCACTATGTATTATAAATAAGTTGTTTTTAAAATAAAAAATTGAAATGATCAGAAGAAACAATATAAAATAAATGTTAGAGGCTATAGTTAGTGAAATATTCATTTATCTAAAATTTGTAAAACTGTAAAACTTCTTCCCTAATAATTCTAAAGAAAATCTTGTACTGTTTTAAACGCAACAACAAGAAAAAATACAATCCAGCAGGTAACCTTTAAAATAAAGAAGACCAACATTTTCAGCCAAAAATAAAGAGTGAAACTTAAAAAAAAACTAATTATTAAGATCTAAAATGCTTTTTTGGTTTGAAAAACTGATGCGTTAACCCCACCTAGAGGCAAAATGGATACTTACCACTGATCTCTGTTAATTTAATAGAGATCAGTGCTACTTACCTCCTTTAGAAAAATTTAAAAAAAGTGGCACATATAAAGGCTTCAGTTTGTTTAAAGGAAAATATGCAGAAAATATGAATTTCACATGATTCAAATAGAAAAAATGAAAAGCAGGATGGATCTGTGGGCTTGAGCTCTACATCAAAGTTGTCAAACCATGTTTCTTTTTCAGTTAGTAATCTTAAAACTTTAAGAAAATTTATCTATAGCTTAGACCTTTGCTTAACTTTACCTGGAATTGAAACATCTGAGGAATATGAATCCGAAAACACAGAAATAACCTGTTTCCTTAATGGTGTCATCTCGAAACCAGGGACTTATTCATACAGATTACAATGGCTCAATTCAGTTACTCTACAGTTCTGTCCCGAGCTAACCGCATCATTCAAGCGGGGAATTAATAGGAGTAAGAGGCAAAGTTTAAATCGGTTTTCTGGAAATCAATCTAAGACAAGCCCTCTTTCTTTTTTTATCTGGAAAATCCTGTGCAAAAGACAGGATGATATCTGTGGAAAACTTGGGGTGTTTAGCAGAAAGAGATAAAATGCAACACTAATTTTCTCTTATACGTCTCCTCTTTCACAAACAAAAAGCAAAACACATAATTCTCTCAATGAAGACATTGTGAGAAGAACCCAGTAAACATTTTCTTCTAACTTTAGACACATTCCACAGTGTTTACCTTGGGGGGTGAAAAGTTATAGGTATTTATTTTGCAATGATATCTGTCCTTTATTCTCATCTTTTTAGAGATTCCTGACTAAATAACTCATCTGATTGCTGAGCAACATTGCTTAGTCAAAAGCTTTGTTTTACAGCCTGGGGCTTCAAAGCAGCAGACAGCTGGTGTGTTAAAGTATAAAGAAGCTCTGCTCTCGACTATCCTTTCACAGTTTCATGTCTCAGGTCCCCTTTGACAGAGCGAGACCCTCAGGGGAGATTTGTTTCTGTGCTGGTGTCAGTGCCACACTGTGCTGCCTCTTTCTGCCAGGTGCTCCTCTTTTTTATCCCATGGGAGGAGCATAAAGCTGTATGCAGGAAAGCTTCTGCATCTCCACTTATTTCCCTGGCAAATGTTGTCACCACAGCCAGGCCCACTTCTCTCCTCCTCCTCCTCCCCTTCTTTCCCTTCCTCTTTTCTTCTCTGACAGACGTCCCTCACGCCCTGCCTGCACGTCAGAAGTCCCTCATATCCTCCAAAGGATAAGATGCCATGGAGGCAACCAGAACCACGGTGCTGTGTGTCTGCTGCGTCCTGTTCGCCTTAACAGGTGAGAGTTTCAAAGTATTTTAAGTTAGGAGGGTTGTGTTGGTACGACTACAGAGTAACCAAGTACAATGGGACTGGTTGCCTTGAGATGTCACTGGTAGGTTTGTTCTAAGTTGTTTTACAATAGACTTTATAAAAAAGGAAAATGAAGGAAATATCCAAACTATAAAAACAGCTGGTATAGAGGTTGCTGTACATGTTTGATCCTCAGAATAATACTCGGCGAATTGACTGAATTTTGTCAATTTATTTGTCCTTAACTTTTATGGTTGAGTGAGTATGATAGCGAGAACATCGTATGACAAAAGTCAAGGAACAGAAAGGATTGAATTATTTAAAAGGACATGGATGCCCATCAGAGTTAATTAAGTATTGCACTATTCTGTTTGTTTTTATTCTATAGGATTTCTGATGCTTGTGGTTATAGAATAGATAAAAAAAGTAAAAGAAATGTGATGCATTTGAGTTGTCATTGTTTTCTCAGTTATGAGACTTTTATTTCTATTTCCTATTCTCAGAACTAAGGCAAACAGGATGGTAGGACTGGCTGCTCTACAGAGTTAGTGTTGCACTTTAAAGTACAAATATAGATATCAGCTCCTTAGTTGGATAACTGAATAAAGTTCATAAAGATATAAGAAATGCAAACTAATAAATGCCAATTCATAAAATTAACATCCTCCTTAATTTGAGGAAATTCAATGGAGATAATATGTCAGGCTTCTGTTGTCATAACAGTTTATTGATAATTTCATTTATTTGCTGCAAATGAACTAATTCATTTGTTTTGTAAAAATGACAACAATACAAAAAATAGCTGAGAAAACTTTTCTATGTTTTCCAAAGCTTATTGTAATTTCTCTAATATAGATAATGCTTTGTGCTAACACTTACTGTAGGTACGCTTTGTAGATTTACAAAGACGGGAGGCTGCATTTATTGCACAACTAACTTTTTAAATTATAAATGAACTAAAAAACATAAATGACTAGAAAGAAATTGCTGTATTTCCTGGTGGACTGAGAAGAGTATTTGGGAAACTATCCTCCAGTAGTTCTGGATATTACTTTGCTGATAGAGAAGATGAAATATGAGAGCAAATTTAAATGTAAAGAACAAAAAAATTGAAATAGTTGTTGATATAATGGTTAGTATTGTTAATTTTTGCTATTTTCTTGCTCATTTGACAACTTTACTTGCTTTTTACCACAATCTCCAGCTTTATCTAAAATGCTTTTAAACTGAGCCACCTTATTCTTTTTCTATCTCTAAAACGTTTTTGAGCTTAAAGGGAAATTTTGCATATCCTTCTACAGTCATCGCAATGTGACTTAACAGAATTGGGTTTTTTCTATTGTTGGCTGCAAGTAAAACAACCAAAAGGTTCCGTGGAAAGAATAAACACCCCTAAGGACCGATCTCTGACTCAGAAGCTGCAGTCATGATCCTGACCTCTTCACTTAATCTCAATGACATAAAATCCCTCAAAGATGGCCCCGCCGTCCGCATCACCAACACTTTAAGAAGTAGTCCAGCTTTTCTTATCTGTTAAAGGATGCTGGTGTATGGAGAAGCACCTGTTGACTTTATTTAGTGTCCAAACACCTTGGATGTGTGAGGGCGATAAGGGGCAGGTGCTGAGGGCTCCCCCCATGTTTCTGTCTAAATCTGTGAGTGAGGGCATGTCCACTAAAGGAAGATATCCTGACATCTAAAAGCCCATTGTCACAGTAATCTACACTCTATCACCACAACAATTGGCAAGCTGTTTGGGGACAACAGCGAAGGAACGGACTGGGCACACTTCTCCTCATTCTGCCCTTTTAACCAGCTCTCAGCTGGTGTAAATACAGCCACACACTCCTGCTACTGACAACACACACCCCCCCACACACACACACACACACCCCCACACACACAGTGACAAAGAAACTGGCCTGCGGGCTGGAGAGTGGAACGTGTCACCGTGTTTTGCGCTGCATGTATTATTTAGGACATAATATGCAACAGCAGATGCACAGTAGATGTATTGAGATGAAAAACGTGGGCGGCAGTCACAGCAGGTCAGGCTGAAACTGTGCCTCATAGAATTATTTATATCGGTTTATCTTTTGATTTTAAGTAAAAAAAAACAACAACACAGACTTCTATGTGTTTCAGCAGGATTTGATCTAATAAATCCACTTAAAGCAATGAGAATGAGATTTGTTCACAGTTATTTTAAAATAATTTACCAAAAAATCCCCATAAATCCAGGATGAGAATTAATGTGTAGCTAATCTGGATCGATATGTTGCAGAAACATGAGAATCTGTAACAAGAATCTCCAGTGAAATTAGGACTGTGACATTCTAACACCTAAACATGCTTTAATATAAACGCCTCCACTGTATTTCTGGTTTTATTTTTATGGTTATATTATTGCCCAATGCTCAATCCCTTTGCTGCTTCTAACTAATTTGTATTAATCTAAATTTGCTTTCTATCAATGTTCCTATTCATTCATACCAACCGTTCTGTTTCTGTTGAAGTGGAGAATCTTCACAGTGTGATGCTGCCACTATCATGTTTCTCTGTTAGCATATAGAAATCTGTGTGGTTTCATGATATCTGTTGTGTTTTTGTTTTGTTTTTTGTTTTTTTGATCACACGATTTTATGCATATACTTATAATATATTTTTATGTTTTGCTTTGTTTTTGGAGTCCAGGAAGAATAGTGACTGCTTGCTGCACTAATGGGGATTTGGTCAATAAAAACAAAAAAAACAAAAAAACAATTGTACCAGAAAATACTGTATAGTCAACAGATTCTCCCAATTGAGCTGTGGATATCTGCAGCTCCTCCAGAGTAATCATGAGCCTCTTGGCTGCTGTTCTCCCTGCCAAGCCTGTCAGCCACTCTTTCCATTTTCAGGGCATCGATTGTAAATCCTTTAATCCCTTAATTGTCTCTCAATGGGGAAATTTATTCCGTGCATTTTGACCCATCCACTTGGTGAGCAGTGGGCTGCCATTGATTGGCGCCCACCGGAGCAGTGTGAAGTTAAGGATTTTGCTCAGGAACCCAGATCGAACGGGGGACTTGCAAACTTCTCAGAGCACAAGCACACTGCTCTAACAACTAAGCCACCACTCCCCCCTAAAACAAAGCCATGTCTAAAGTTTTTTAACAACCCTATGATGCCTTTTCCCACAGAGCTGGATTTATACTGAGATTCATTTACACTTAGTAGGTGTTGAATGGAATTGAAAGGTCACTGTAATAATTAGTTATAGAAATAGATGAATTGATGACAGAGAAAGGAAGAAAAAAGAACCAGACAATGCAAAGTTTGTTTAAATATAGCATATAAAAAGGAACCAACTAGAAGTGTGCTTCTTTAAAGAGAAAAGGGAAGCTGAAACTCAGCACTTAATAAAAATATAACAATCTGCTGGCTCACATGCTTTAAAGGTCTCCCTGTTCTTTCCACCTTGTCTTTTTTATGGGTCTAAACTGCCAGGCAACCAAACTTAAACAGACAGAGACGCGCAATACATCAGCAATTATTGTAACTTCAGACAGCCTGACAGTGAGTGTTTGCCGCACAGCGAGTCAAGATCAGACAGGCCTCATGCTTGACAACAACGACACCCTTTAGTGAGCTGGGTCAATATTAACTCACTACAGTTTCAGGATGATGATTTGAATAGCAGGATGCAAACTGAACGCGCTGGTTTCATACACCCACCAGAAACTGTCAACAATTTTTTTGTTTGGTACCAGAAATAGTGAATATATAAAAATATACACCTGCAATCTATTGTTTTGTGTAATTTAACACATGGAAATGTTTAAATTTACACCTTGGAACTGTGAAGTCTTTAGTTTATCCTTTATAAGAAGTTCCTCTAAAAATCGGGAACACTTGTGTCTCCCTTTATTTTTTGTGTCCTGGATTAGTATCCAGTCAAGTTGTTAAACTCTTTGTTGTGATCCAAATTTATCTTAAAAGCATGTAAAATTGCTGAAACATTACCTAAAAACTCTGTGCGTCTTAAACTGTTTGCTGCGGAATGAAAGGTGTACATAAGTCAGGCCTTGATTATGCTGCATCATGTCCTGTGACTGATAAGCTCTCTTGCTTCTGATAAGCTGAGACCAGTAGTTGTTCGATCTTATGGAAGAACGGTTCTCTGTTTCTGTCGCATGGAGATATCTCACAAGAAGAACACACAGTGTGTTTGGGACAGAAAATACCGTAGGAAACATTCTGTCTTCTACAACGTAATGTGGGTCAAGGTCCTTTCATGTAAACTGATATCCTTCTTTTGTTGTCATTAGCAGTTGTAGCTTCATCTATTCTGCCACTAATGTTCTTCTATCATGTAGAAAATTAAACCACAAAGAGCAATTTTTAGCCATGCTCCTTTTCTCCCCACAAATTGAAGTTCAATATTATTCTTTATTTTCATTATAACTGCATTCTGATGAGCTTTTGTTTCAAGATTAGATAAAGAGAGTTGTTATTTATATTATTTCATTTGTGGTGTATTACATTCACCACCCATTGTTTGCATCAACTGATTTATTTATGAAGGTGATTTCTGCCACCTTCACAATGCATCCAAAGCAGTTCTTTGATACTGACAGAGGTGCAAACAGCTGTTTGCATTAAGCTTGAAATAAAGCTTGAAAATGTTAATACTACACTGGGATGGAAGTTTAATTCTGCAGCTCTAACTACATTTGGACTCATGGCACCATTATTTGTATACTAAATTTGGGTTTCTCAGATGTCAGACCTGCCAAATTTAGAGAGAAACGTAGAGTGAAACTTAGGTTCAGCCATAGTCAGTATCAAAAGAAAAAAAAAAA